AAGGATCTCATTCAGATTTGATGGAGATATCAAAAGCTTTGCAGACAAGCAAAAGCTAAGAGAATTCAGCACCACAAAATCAACTCTACAACAAATGCTAATGGAACTTCTCTAAGTGGGAAACACAAGAGAAGAAAAGAACCTACACAAACAAACCCAAAACAATTAAGAAAATAATAATAGGAACATACATATCAATAATTACCTTAAACGTGAAAGGACTAATTGCTCCAACCAAAAGACACAGGCTCGCTGAATGGGTACAAAAACAAGACCCTTATATATGCTGTCTACAAGAGACCCACTTCAGACCTAGGGACACATACAGACTGAAAGTGAGGGGATGGAAAAAGATATTCCATGCAAACGGAAATCGAAAGAAAGCTGGAGTAGCAATACCCATATCAGATAAACTAGACTTTAAAATAGAATGTTACAAGAGACAAGGAAGGACACTACATAATGATCAAGGAATCAATCCAAGAAGAAGATATAACAATTATAAATATATATGCACCCAACATAGGAACACCTCAATACATAAGGCAATACTAACAGCTGTAAAAGAGGAAATCGACAGTAACACAGTAATAGTGGGGGACTTTTACACCTCACTTACACCAATGAACAGATCATCCAAAATGGAAATTAATAAGGAAACACAAGCTTTAAATGACACAATAGACCAGATAGTTTTAATTGATATTTATAGGACATTCCCTCCAAAAACAGCAGATTACACTTTCTTCTCAAGTGTGCATGGAACATTCTCCAGAATAGATCACATCTCGGGTCACAAATCAAGCCTCAGTAAATTTAAGAAGATTGAAATAATATCAAGCATCTTTTTTTTTTTTCCTTGCGGTACGAGGGCCTCTCACTGTTGTGGCCTCTCCCAATGCGGAGCACAGGCTCTGGACGTGCAGGCTCAGTGGCCATGGCTCACGGGCTAGCCTCTCTGCGGCATGTGGGATCTTCCCAGACCGGGGCACGAACCCGTGTCCCCTGCATTGGCAGGCGGACTCTCAACCACTGCACCACCAGGGAAGCCCCAATATCAAGCATCTTTTCTGACCACAGCGCTATGAGATTAGAAATCAATTACAGGGAAAAAACCGTAAAAAACACAAACACATGAGGGCTAAAAAATACGTTACTAAATTTCCAAGAGATTACTGAAGAAGTCAAAGAGGAAATCAAAAAATACCTAGAGACAAATGACAATGAAAACACGATGATTCAAAACCTGTGAGATGCAGCAAAAGCAGTTCTAAGAGGGAAGTTTATACCTATACAAGCCTACCTCAAGAAACAAGAAAAATCTCAAATAAACAATCTAACGTTACACCTAAAGGAACTAGAGAAAGAAGAACAAACAAAACCCAAAGTTAGCAAAAGAAAAGAAATCATAAAGATCAGAGCAGAAATAAATGAAATAGAAACAAAGAAAACAATAGCAAAGATCAATAAAACTAATAGCTGTTTCTTTGAGAAGATAAACAAAATTGATAACTGTTAGCCAGACTCATCAAGAAAAAGAAGGAAAGGTCTCAAATCAATAAAATTAAAAATGAAAAAGAAGAAGTTACAACAGACATCGCAGAAATACAAAGCATCCTCAGAGACTACTATAAGCAACCCTATGCCAATAAAATGGACAACCTGGAAGAAATGGACAAATTCTTAGAAAGGTATAACTTTCCAAGACTGAACCAGGAAGAAATAGAAAATATGAACAGACCAATCTCAAGTAATGAAATTGAAACTGTGATTAAAAATCTTGCAACAAGGGCTTCACTGGTGGCGCAGTGGTTGAGAGTCTGCCTGCCAATGCAGGGGACACGGGTTTGTGCCCTGGTCCAGGAAGATCCCACATGCCATGGAGCGGCTAGGCCTGTGAGCCATGACCACTGAGCCTGTGTGTCCGGAGCCTGTGCTCCGCAATGGGAGAGGCCACAACAGTGAGAGGCCGCGTACCGAAAAATAAAATCTTCCAACAACAAAAAAATCCTGGTCCAGATGGCTTCACAGGTGAATTCTATCAAATATCTAGAGAAGAGCTAACATCCATCCTTCTCAAACTCCTCCAAAAAATTGTGGAGGAAGGAACATTCCCAAACTCATTCTACAAGGCCACCATCACCCTGATACCAAAACCAGACAAAGATACTACAAAAAAAGAAAGTTACAAACCAATATCACTGATGAATATAGATGCAAAAATCCTCAACAAAATACTAGCAAAGAGAATCAAACAACACATTAAAAGGATTATACACCATGATCAAGTGAGATTTATCCCAGGGTTGCAAGGATTCTTCAATATACACAAATCAATCAATGTGATACACCACATTAACAAATTGAAGGAGAAAAACCATATGATCATCTCAATAGATGCAGAGAAAGCTTTTGACAAAATTCAACACCCATTTATGATAAAAACTCTCCAGAAAGTGGGCATAGAGTGTACCTACCTCAACGTAATAAAGGCCATATGTGACAAACCCAAAGCAAACATCCTTCTGAATGGTGAAAAACTGAAAGCATTTCCTCTAAGATCAGGAAAAAGACAAGGATGTCCACTCTCGCCACTATTATTCAACATAGTTTTGGAAGTCCTAGCCACAGCAATCAGAGAAGAAAAAGTAATGAAAGGAATACAAATTGGAAAAGAAGAAGTAAAACTGTCACTGTTTGCCGATGACATGATACTATACATAGAGAAATCTAATGATGCCACCAGAAAACTACTAGAGCTAATCAATGAATTTGGTAAAGTTGCAGGATACAAAATTAATGCACAGAAATCTCTTGCATTCCTATACACTAATGCTGTAAATTCTGAAAGAGAAATTAAGGAAACACTCCCATTTACCATTGCAACAAAAAGAATAAAATACCTAGGAATAAACCTACCTAAGGAAAAAAAAGACCGGTATGCAGAAAACTATAAGACACTGATGAAAGAAATTAAAGAGGATACCAACAGATGGAGAGATATACCATGTTCTTGGATTGGAAGAATCAATATTGTGAAAATGACTATACTAACCAAAGCAATTTACAGATTCAATGCAATCCCTATCAAATTACCAATGGCATTTGTTACGGAACTAGAACAAAAAAATCTTAAAATTTGTATGGAGACACAAAACACCCCAAATAGCCAATGCAGTCTTGAGGGAAAAAAACGGAGCTGGAGGAATCAGACTCCCTGACTTCAGACTATACTACAAAGTTACAGTAATCAAGACAATATGGTACTGGCACAAAAACAGAAACATAGATCAATGGAAGAAGTTAGAAAGCCCAGAGATAAACCCACGCACCTATAGTCAACTAATCTATGACAAAGGAGGCAAGGATATACAATGGAGAAAACACAGTCTCTTCAATAAGTGGTGCTGGGAAAACTGGACAGCTACCTGTAAAAGAATGAAATTAGAACACTCCCTAACACCATACACAAAAATAAACTCAAAATGGATTAGAGACCTAAATGTAAGACCGGACACTATAAAACTCTTAGAGGAAAACATAGGAAGAACACTCTTTGACATGTCCCAGCAAGATCTTTTTTGATCCACCTTCTAGAGGAATGGAAATAAAAACGAAAATAAACAAATGGGACCTAATGAAACTTCAAAGCTTTTGCACAGCAAAGGAAACCATAAACAAGATGAAAAGACAACCATCAGAATGGGAGAAAATATTTGCAAATGAATCAACGGACAAAGGATTCATCTCCAAAATATATAAACAGCTCATACAGCTCAATATTAAAAAAACAAGCAACCCAATCCAAAAGTGGGCAGAAGGATAAATAGACATTTCTCCAAAGAAGACATACAAATGACCAAGAAGCACATGAAAAGCTGCTCAACATCACTAATTATTAGAGAAATGCAAATCAAAACTACAATGAGGTATCACCTCACACCTGTTAGAATGGACATCATCAGAAAATCTAAAAACAGCAAATGCTGGAGAGGGTGTGGAGAAAAGGGAACCCTCTTGCACTGTTGGTGGGAATGTAAATTGATACAGCCACTATGGAGAACAGTATGGAGGTTCCTTAAAAAACTAAAAATAGAATTACCTTATGATCCAGCAATCCCACTACTGGGCATATACACAGAGAAAACCATAATTCAAAAAGACACATGCACCCCAATGTTCATTGCAACACTGTTTACAATAGCCAGTTCATGGAAGCAACCTAAATACTCATTGACAGATCAATGGATAAAGAAGATGTGGTGCATATATACAATGCAATATTACTCGGCCATAAAAAGGAACGAAATTGGGTCATTTGTTGAGATGTGGCTGGATCTAGAGACTGTCATACAGAGTGAGTAAGTCAGAAAGAGAAGAACAAATATCATATATTAACGCATATATGTGGAACCTAAAAAATGGTACAGATGAACCAGTTTGCAGGGCAGAAATTGAGACACAGATGTAGAGAACAAACATATGGACACCAAAGGGGGAAAGAGACAGGGTGGTGGTGGTGTGATGAATTGGAGATTGGGATTGACCTATATACACTGATGTGTATAAAATGGATGACTAATAAGCACCTGCTGTATAAAAAAGTAAATAAAATCAAATTCAAAAAAAAAAAGGAAAAAGAAAGAAATAAAATGGATCTACTTTATTGTGTGGAGCAGAAGGAAGCTCAGAGTGACCCTGCCCCTGGTTGATGGGAAAAGACTCTGTCTGGAGTCTATATTCTTTAATCATGTGGAATTTATTGAAAAAGAAAAGAATGTTGAGAGATGGGGGAAGGGGATAGGGAAGTTGGAGGCCAGAGAAGAATGTGTAACAGGGCATGGATAGGAGAGGAAAGATATTTGAGCTTCCTGTCTGATAGGCAGAGGAAGATGTGATTAGTTTTTGACTGGGGAAGAAACTAAATATAAATTGAGTCCAGTAGGGTGATGGAGGACTTTTGCTGCCTGACTCAGAGCAGGAAGCAAGGGCACAGGCTTCTAGACCTTGTTGCAGAAAGATTGATTCCGACAGCATATAACTTGCATCCTGGTTCCATGGGATAAGTGGTTCATGGATGGGCACATGTTTTCACAGCCCTGGACAATGAATTGAAGTTTTCCACCTGAAAGAAGCAGAGGCAGACTGTAATGAGCAGAAAGCTTCCTCCTCCAATCTTAGCTTTCATCCATGGTTCCCAGTGTCCCTATGTAGGCACGACCAAGTCCTCCAACTTGTATATTCTTTCCTTCCTCCCTTCCATCTGCTGCTTCTGGACCCTTCCCCTGATCAGTTGCCCACTCTTTCTAGTGAGGGACCAGACAAACCACAAGGGAAGTCAGGCAGTCAAGGGAAGTTCATGGGATGGAAGTAACCAAGATCCCTTCCTTATTTTGAGGATGAGGACTGAGTGTAAGGGTAGAGAGGTGTAGGAAGACACATATACAGGTCTGCCAACCTGTGAACACAGACTGGTGGACAACTGTTTATTACTTAACTTATGTATTCAATATTTAGTAAATGCCTACCATGGGCTGGACATTGTGCTAAGTGCTAGGAATATATAGCCATGAACAAGATAGACACATTCCTGAGCTTACTGTCAATGTCTCAAGGGGCAACCCACACATTTCTTTAATAGGAAGAGACAGCCAATCTCCCTGCCTCTTTTTAAGACATCGTAAGCCTGCTGGGAAGGGCCTCTCCCTCAATAGCTGGAATTCTGCTCTTGATTCTTGAAAGGATAAGGTTCTCCTGGATCTCCAAGTTTCTGGGGAATCACAGCTTGTTCCCTCCTCGTCCCCTGCCACCCTATCTCCTCCCCATCAGTACTCAAGCTGGTTGATGTGTTCTCTGGCGAAGACTGGCTCATGAAGTCCCCACATACCTTCAAAGATCTTCTTTAACATGCACTGCTGGGAATTCTGAGTGGAGCAGACTCCCTCTCCTTGAAGACATTTTCCTTGGTCATTCATATAAGAGCATGTGTGGCAATTTAATACTGGGCCTGAAAATTTAAGATCAGCCTGATGAAATAACCTTAGGATCCAGGTTGTATAGCCTTGAGTCACACATCTGGGGAGGGATGATGGGCAAAAAGTAGGTGGATACAACACATTTCATTTCCTGGTTCTTGTTAGGGATGTGAGGGCTCTGTGTCTGAAAGAGCATATTTTCTCTTCTGTGCCGGAGGAAATGCCTTCATTCTTATTGCTTCATCTATGATTTTCATTACTGATGAATCCCACATTTATCTCTCTAGTACTGACTTTTATTCTAATTCATCACCCAGTGGCTTCCTGGACATTTATCATTAGATGCCCTTCTGCAGTGTCTAACTCAATAGGAGCAATAGAACTCCTCATGTGACTGGCTCCCTTTCCTACTCCCCATCACACTCTCACTTATCACAAGGCACAAACACTTGCAGTGAAATCTGACTGATTAATAAGCTGTGTTAGAATGCTGTAATGTTGCAAACATTACATCAATTCTCTATTCTCAAAGTGACCTTCAGTCAGGTCAGTTTGTCACAAAGCACAGTCTCTTTGAAGCGATTCCATATTGCCTCTCTACCTCCACTGCCAATTCCCTAATTAAGGAAGCATAAAGTGGAAAGAATATGAGCTTTGGAGTCAGACTTAAGTTTGAATCCAAGGTTTGCTACTTTCTAGCCGGATGATGTAACTTCTCTCGTCTGAAAATTTGGAATACTGCTACTTATGTAATGGGGTGAAATATAAAGTGTCTATGTCTGGTAATAACTTGAGACATTAAACCTTGGATCTTGCTTTCCTTCCTTAAAGAACCCCTTTTGAGTAAGAGCCAAAGAATTGCACTTGTCCTGGGAACTTATTTCTGGATCTAACAGACAAAAGTGTCAGCATGCTTTACTTTCCATTGATGAAAGAAATGTTCACATATTGAGTGAGGTATGGAGAAGTTATTCTGGCTTATACATTAGTTAACTTGAATTTTATGCTAACTAAAACAGCCTCTTTGTGGCCTATTGAACAACTGCTTTAATTATTAAAGAAAAGGTCACATTAACCAGAAGTAAAAAATGTCCATGTTAAAAATAAAGATTAAATACCCCTCTTCATGGGATGCCAGTTCCAGTACCCCACTGATGATAAAACTCCCTTCCCAGGTGCCAAGGCCATACTGTACATGTATGTGCTGGTCTTTTTGTTTGTTTGTTTGTTTGTTTGTTTTTAACCTTGAAGAAATGTATCCCTGACTTGTTTAATGTTCTTTGTTCTGACAAGATATAGAACTGTGCTGAAAACTCTGCTCCTCCAGAGCAGTTTCTCAGAGTAATCTGGGAAGCTGGCTTCTGGGCTATAGTCCTCACTTTGGCTCAAATAAAACTCTTTTCTATTATTATTATTGATTGTTTATTATTTCCATTGACACCGTGTTCAAACATGAAAACCGAGATCTACAAGCTCCACTGCTAGACATCTCTTTAGAGGGTTTGCAAAGCATTTTGACATAGTTTGTTAAGAGGCAGATTTAGCATGAAGCTCACCAAAGTTTTCTTCCATGAGCCCCTTCCAGGGGAGCTGTGGGCATCTGTATTCACAATTTCTTACATAGAGTGAAGTTGGAGAGACTGCTGGTACTTTTATATTTGTTTTGTTTTTCTTAAAGAGGGCCCTCTGAACAGTTTAACCTCCAAAGGGCCCCACAAAACCTGGATCTTGCCACCTGGGATTATTGTAAAGAAATGTAAAGAGATGTAAAATGTAAACAGCTCTCTTTGGGAGCTGTTTGTGAAGTGTATGAACTATTCTTTCTTCTAAACTCCTTAAAATTGGTTTTCTGTATGTGTTACCTACTTCCCACCTGAAGTCAAGGATGGGCACCCATCCAAATGTGGCTCACCTGAAATTGTGCTTGAAGGCGGGATGCCTGAAGGCTGTTCACCTGCAGACCGTTCACCAGAAGTCTTTTCACCCGAAGGCTGTTCACTGGAAGCGTGTTCACCTGCAGCGTGCCCACCTGCAGCATGCCCTCTTGAAGCGTGTTTGACTGCACTGTGCCCGCCTGAAGCATGTTCGACTGCATCGCGCTCACCTGAAGCGTGTTCAGCCGCAGTGTGCTCACTTGAGCCATGCTCACTCAAAGTGTTCTCGCCTGAAGAAGTCTCATATAAAGCCTCACCATCTGAAGGGTTTTCAAGTGAAAAGTAGTCACCTGAAGGTTGCTGAACTGAAGCTTGATGATCCATAGAGCCAGGAAGCTCATCAGATTGACCTGATGCTCCTGGGATGGAGAAATAACAGAAGAGAGATGGTAAAGGTGAGAGAGGACGTCTGGATAAAGAGTGCTTTCCTATGGAGCAAGGCTAATGTTGTGGGGTTCCTAGGTTTCTGGGGGCCTAGGCCAAGCACCTGAAGATACTGCAGATGTTGGATGCAGTCAACCAGTTACCTGGGAGGCCATGAAGGACAGGGGTGTTAAGGAAACACAGAGACCACCTCTGTGATTGAAGGGAAGAATTTTAAGATCCACAACATTTGTGTGGATCTGTGTACCCTGAGTGGGCACATGGGGGCCTCCTCACCCAGCACCAAAAGCACTGTGCCTCCCTGACAGAGCCAACGGCAGGAAATCAATGTCCCATCATTCATGTAATCAGAAGTCCACCACTAGCCTCCCTCCAGTTCCCCTGTGGGTGAAAGGTAAGAATGGAGGTACAAGAGGGAGAGAAAGCAAATTGTTTCAGTAGCTGAGTAATTCTAGCTGAAACTGAGGGTGGAAGATTTTAAACTTTGGACAAGATAAATTTTAAGCTAGAGATGACAAATATCTAATGAACCCACAAAAATTACCAGAAGGCACTAAGACACCTTTACTTGGCAAGTTCATGTTCTTTCACACACTCAACCCCAATCCATGTGAGTTGGGGACACAAAGCCAAGTTGCTGTTAATTATTAAGATAAAAACAATCTTTGCTTCTATATCCCTGAATTGAGATTCCTTGTGATATATCATTTACACCAACTTTACAGAGTTGTCATGAGTATTCAATAAGATAAACTGTGAAGTGCCTAGTCCGTTGCTCAAGTGCTCAGCTAATTTTAGTTTTCCCTCCTCCTGACCTTGCATTTGGAATTACAAAACTCTTAGCTGGTCGTTCTGTTCTGACCACTCTCTTCTACATTTAATCCATCTTATTAGTGGCTGTCAGACAAATATCCTTAAGTACAACTTTCATTTTATTAAGTGTAGCACCAAGCAGACAATTTGATTATTACTTTTTTTAAAAATTATTACTCTTTGACTGAGTAACTGATTTAGACTGAGTAACCTAGAGAAGGGTGGTGAGTAGACTATAATGACTAAATTATTAATCCTAGCCAAAAGCTGAATTACAGGATCTTTGAGACCTAAGTCCCCAAAATACTCTAGCTCTGTAAGAATCCTGCAAATATATATATTTGTGTGTGTGTGTGTGTGTGTGTGTATGTATGTATGTATTCTGAGTGATTTGAAGACCTTACAATCAATAACTTTCAAAAGGCTAGCATTAGAATATGTTGATAAAGGAAAGGTAAGATTTGCTAAGGCTTTAAGGAATTTTTAATTTTAAAAAGTTGTTACAGAAATATCATCTTCTTGACTGATCCTTCAAAAGTTAACAGAAGTTTTAATAAAGAAATTTCTGATACGGAAGGGAGGCTTGAAAAACACACTAATTTCTTTGTCATGCTTATAGTTTATGACTCACTGCCTCACAAAGTGGCTAGGACATACTACCTTCTGGTAGCTATGTAGCTACGTTTCTCAGTCAACTTTTGAAAGTCTAAGAAAGCAAAAGACAAAATCTCTGAGAACTGACGTTACAGAAAACACGTTGTCATTTAATAGACAGCTCAGAGCTCATGGCCTCTCACTTCTCCTGTAGGAGGAAGGAGGGGAGGGAACAGAGCCCACCCTGAATGGGGGTCCTGAAAGAGGAAATACCACTGGATGGATAGACCAATGAAAGAGTGGCTTGTAAGGTCTCTGGTCCAGAGCCATGCTGTGTTCTCGGATGACTTTCCAGGCATACCACACTCCCATCTCCTCATGTCTCTCCTTCTACATTAACTACACAAGGATCCCCTACACTCAGTTCACGGGGGCAAACCTTCACTGGACCTCCACAGAACCCCTAGACCAATCTTCTCATTTCACAGAGCATCAGATACAATGTCAAGTGGCTGAAAGTATTAGGAACGAGACTGTGCTAAGCCAGTCTCTGATGGTGAAGCCATAACTAGGAGGAACCCACCACTGGTTCAGTAGCTCTCAGAGTTGAACTTGTTCAGCTACTCCTAATTCTGAGTTAGATTGGTTTGGGTAACTAAGATACTGGCCTGCCTTCTTCAAGGGCTGAAATGCCTTAAAGGTGCCTCTTACATGTCCACCCAGAGCCAAGACAAGAGGACTTACCTCTGGCAGATCCAAGCAGATACAGACTCACTAATAGAAGACATTTCTTCATCTGGATTTTGGGAGAGAGGGCACCCTGGTGTGGGGCACCCAAGAGCCGTGAAAAAGACTGTGAGCAGAAGCTCCCAGTGCTGAGCCACAGAGTCTGGGATTCTAGAACCTCAGAAACAATCCATGATTCATCACAATGTGTTGTGCTCTGAGGTTCTCATGTCGCCCGATCAGGCAGGTTGGACCTCTGGCAACCCACGGCAAATTGTACTGTGAAGGCTCATGCACCATGGTATATTGGGGCTCTCTGCCCTACCTTAAAAACTCATATTACCAAAATAACATATACTCTATGTAATAAATTTTAAAATCTATCTACTCTCTTTTTAAAGTGTTCTTGACAGTGAGGTGTGATTAGCTGGTTATTTTTTGTTTGACTCTCTAAATCAGCCTTTTTTCCTTTTGGTCCTGGACCCCAGAAGGATGATCTCTCTTGAGTTGATCACCTGAGTGCTGGTTGGGGTTGGCTTTAGATTGTGTTTAGCCAATGGAAGATTGGAGAAGAGAACACACACACACACATACACACACACACACACACACACACACACACACACACATACACACGGATTGAGATGGAAGTATTTATTCCTCCTATTACCTTCCTGCCACAGTTCTGACACTGGCTGGGTCTTGATGTGACAGTTTTTGAAGGGTGTCCTCTCTTCCATGGCTTCAGCTCTCCACCAGGCTATGGTTACATGTTTTCCTTCCCCTGCTCCCTCAGGCCTAGGAATGATGATGATTTCTTGCAGTTGCTAAATTTGGATGCCCCGACTTTATTATATTTTTTCCTTAACCCTGCTCACTTCTGCTAATAGTATTTTCATAATGACCTATATCAATCATGGTTTGAGCAGGAAACAGATGGCAAACTCAAATGGGTAACAGGAGAATTTACGTGATATGGACATTGAAAAGGGATCTACAAGACATATTTGAAAGCTGTGCCTTGAGCTGTAACTGCTGAGAAGATGGATGCAGTGAAGCATCCACCTGGTATTAAGCTAGAACTTTTGGGGGATTGGGTGGCAGAGCTACCATAGCCCCCATCTCCTCCCTCTTCCCTGCCCACCTCTCTTGGACCACTTTGTTACATGTACCACTGAATGCTGGATCTAGAATAGATGTATTTGTCACTCATAATTATTTAATGCTTGTCTCCCCCATTAGACTTTTTTTTAATACACATAGCAGGCAAGTGTGATGACTTTTTTAAATATTTATTTATTTTATGTATTTATTTTCCTTATTATTATTATTTTTGGCTGCATCAGGTCTTAGTTGCAGCACACAGGATCTTTGTTGAGGCATGTGGGATCTTTTCGTTACAGCTCATCGTCTGCTTGGGTTTCTCTCTAGTTGCAGTGTACAGGCTTCTCTCTAGTTGTGGCATATGGGCTCCAGGGCATGTGGGCTCTGTAGTTTGTGGCACATGGGCTCTCTCATTGAGGCGTGCGAGCTCAGTAATTGTGGTGTGCAGGCTTAGCTGCCCCTCAGCATGTGGAATCTTAGTTCCCCAACCAGGGATCGAACCTGCGTTCCCTGCATTGGAAGGTGGATTCTTTACCACTGGACCACCAGGGAAGTCCCTTCCCCATTAGACTTTAAGCTCCTTGAAAATGGTGTTCCAGTCTGTCTTGATCACTGTTGTATCCTCACTACCTAACAGCATGCTTGACACATAACATGTGCATTTTTCCTGCATGAAGGAAAAAATGAATTATCTTTTCTGGACCTTGCTCTACTTCATGGAGGAAGATGTATAGACAGCCCCTAGAGTGGGCTTGCTGAAGATTCTGGGTCAATGGGAGAAAGCAGGACCTCAGGGATCAGAAGTTGCAGAGGCCAACCCTACTTGGCTTGAGTTGGAGGACAAAACTAGGTTTTCCAGGTCTGCGGCTCCACTCCTCTGGAGGAGAGAAAGGCATGACACAGAATGCCATCAATAGTTCCTTTTTTTGATGTGGAGTGAGTTAGGAGCTGAGATCACATTCAGTCAGACTTTTGTTGATAGAAGCAGTGGAAATTAGTGGAAAGGAAGTGGTGTTATCTATACCACCTACCAGTTTAAAGTATGCCAGCAGTTCTCTTTGTAATTATCAGAACTTTCTGGGACATCCCTGCCTCACGCCTCCCCAGGAGTGACAATATTAACAGATAAGACCTTAAAGCCTGAATGTTCTCTCCTTAAACCTCATCCTCCAACTTCTTCCTCCCTCTTTTTAAGGTTGGCTTTACAGAACTATACCCCAACCCCACCCAGGCTGACTTTCACTGGGCTCTACTTTGGGAATCTTCTCCCTGTGTCCAGTAGTCTGGCACTTTAAAGTCCGACCTTTGAGTATCTGAGCTCATCATAGAGCTCATCATAGAGCTCCATCACCCATGTGGTGATGGAGAATTCACTATGGAACTTGAACAGTTCTGGAGCTAAGACATCCAGAGGTATTCCGGGTCCTGCCCAGATGAGTTAATGCTCCAATTTCTACTGCCCCAAATGAACCAAAGAACTAGCCAACTCAGCCCCTGTAATGTTTGTGACCTGGTTAAAAAAGATGAACTGAGTCAGAGTCTTCTCCTAGAAATACGCAGTTGAAACACAGAAAGACAGAGAAAATTAGCTATGGGGAGCTGAGTTGAAAGGTCATTTAGACTCATGTGCTGAGACCACTATTTGGGGCCAAACGGGGGATAAGTAAGCTGAGAAGTCCGGGAGAAAGTAACAGAGAGAAAAGAGTACAGAGGAGATGAGAGATACCAGACCTCATTCGGTTTACCTTAACCTTAAACAATGGGGAATTAGACATATACATGTCAGAATACACACCACTCAGACTGGGCCTCATGGAGACCTGAACACAGTCTGTGGCCTGCAATAGTTCTGGATACACAGCAGTTCTAGTAATAGCTATCTGGTAGACCTTCTTTTCTTCTAGTCTTCCTGCCTACGTTCTTACTGCTCTTGTTCTAAACTGACTTTTGTCTACTCTGTATGCTGTGACTTTCACTTACTTATAACTCCTACTGATTCATAACATTTTTCTTTTTTGAAGTATAGTTGATTTACAATGTTGTGTTAATTTGTGGTGTACAGCAAAGTGATTCAGTTATACACATGCATACACATATATATTCTTTTTCATATTCTTTTCAATTAGGTTTATTACAAGATATTGAATATAGTTCCCTGTGCTATACAGTAGGACCTTGTTCTTTATTTTATATATAGTAGTTTGTACCTGTTAATCCAAAACTCCTAATTTATCCCTCCATCTCCCCACCCCATTTCCCCTTCGGTAACCATTAAGTTTGTTTTCTACGTCTATGAGTCTGTTTCTGTTTTGTAAATAAGTTCATTTGTAACATATTTTAGATTCCACATATAAGGGATATCATGTAATATTTGTCTTTCTCTGTCTGACATTTCATTTAATATGATATTCTCTAGGTCCATCCATTTTGCTGCAAATTGAAATATTTCATTATTTTTATGACTGAGTAGCATTCCATTTATATATATATATATATATATATACATATATATATATATGTAAAACATCTTTATTCGTTTATCTGTCAATGCACATTTATTTAGGTTGTTTCCATGTCTTGGCTATTGTGAATACTGCTGCTATGAGCATTGGGGTGCATGTGTCTTTTTGGATTAGAGTTTTCTCTGGATATAAGCCCAGGAGTAGGATTGCTGGATCATATGGTAACTCTATTTTTAGTTTTTTAAGGAACCTTCATACTGTTCTCCATAGTGGCTGCAGCAATTTACATTCCCACCAACAGCGTAGGAGGGTTCCCTTTTCTCCACACTCTCTCCATTTATTAATTTTAGACTTTTTAATGATGGCCATTCTGACCGGTGTGAGGTGATACCTCATTGTCGTTTTGATTTGCATTTCTCTAATAATTAGTGACGTTGAGCATCTCTTCATGTGTCTATTGGCCATCTGTATGATTCATAACTTTTGCTCACTCAGAGTTTCTGAATGTTCATTACTTCTGCTAACTCATGACTTCTGCTTATTCATGGCTTATGCTGACCCCTGACTTCCCTGACATGTGCCTTTGTCTATTCTTTGGTCCTAATAGGCATTCTTGACTCTGACATTCAGTTTTCAAGAGAGAAAATCTCAATGGCTTAACCTCTCATTCTCATCCCTTTTGCACAAAATTCTAATGCCAGGCTACCTCACAGGTCTTTCATGCAATTCACAGTGGCCAGGATGGAGGTCTATGTGATACCTAGCATGGTGATCTATGTTAAGAAACCTAGAAAGGGGTCAGAGCTGTGGTAACCATTCTGAAGTTTCCTGAAATTCAGAGGGGGCACAGTAAAATGGAAGGCATGTTTCTTCACCTGTGCACTGCTACTGCCAGGGGAAGGCATCAAGACCTTGCACAATCTGTCCCCACATGTACTTTCTCTGTCTTGTGTTTCCACTCCTCCCCTTCCCTTTCTCTACCTTCATCCCAAGCTCCATCACAGGCCACATCCGTACACAACTTCTAATTATTCTCTGAATATGCAATGCCCTCTGCATTTTCATGGTTCCCCTCCCCGCCTTCCTGAAACTGTACTTCTCCATCTAGTCTTCCTGATAAGAATTCATTCTTAACTCTTCACACACTCCCTGGGAAGTCTTAATCCATGTCAATCACCACCTACCAATGGAAGACTCCCCAAATCCACCAATCTGGCCCATAGACTCCTCTCTTTCCAGTTCAGACCCACATATCCAACTACCAGCTGGACATTTCTATCTGGATATCCCAGGATATTTGAAACTCAACATTTGTGATACTGAATTCATCATTTGTACTCCAGCTCTGTTCCTGGGACTTTTAGCTTGGTACGGGCATACCTTGTTATACTGTGCTTTACTTTATTGTGCTTCTCAGATACTGCCTTTTATACAAATTGAAGGTTTGTGGCAACCCTGCATCAAGCAACTCTGTTGGTGCCATTTTTCCAACAACGTCTGCTCA